TCATTTTTTTTTTCAAAAATGTGTTGGAAATATCGAAATAGGGTTATGGAAATCTGGATAACAAAATAGGAATCGTTTAATCATTTTCCTTGTTTGATATTTCGACCCTATATACATTGGGTATCACGAAATCCAAACTTAGGATAATTCCTGATGTAGCAATTCTGATTTTAGGCACAAAATCAGAATCAATTTTAGAAGAATATGAAAAAGGAAGCATTTCCCGGTTTTCTGTGTTCCAAAGGAGTCGTTATTTTCCTGGATTTATCCACTCAACGGATAAATGAGAACAGTTTGCATCTTTCAAAAAAAAAAAAAAAAAAAAAAACCAGATTAGTCCCTGAATTTACATTTTTCAAGAATGACCCCGACTTGACACTTAGGGTTCGATACACCCGATTACATTATTCTTGAAACACTTGTTAAATCCATTACATTAAAATATATTTGGGGATATAAAATCACCAACAAAATACACATCGAAACACCCGATTAATGATATTTATGCATGCTAAAACAATTTTTACTAACATATGAGGGTTTATAATGATCCCTCGATCATGCAAACGACTATCAAATAAAAGGTTTTTGACAATTGCTGAAATTCCAACGACAAATACATAAACTAAACTGATGCGGGCCAAAGTAGGAAAAAAGATGTTTTTACTTTTTACAATGACCCCTCAATTCCCCAATAGTCTATATTTACTTTTTTCCAATCATAGACAAACAAAGACAAAAGACGTGAAAGAAATACACTCGACTTATAGGGAAACCTCACAATCGAAAGCTTTTTCCTCTTGTGTTAATTGGAAAACTTAGAATGGCTACTCTTTTACGTCTCTTTCTATAAATATTGTCATTTCCGACACGATAGGGGCATATTGGTCTCTTCCTTTTGTTTTTACTTAAAACCAAAGTCTATTAGAATAATGTCCTTTTGAGTACGAATTTGTCACCATAAACATATCCATCAACTCTATGACATTCAAACAATGTATCCATTAACTCACTAATTGAATCCACATAAGATACGTCTTTAAATGCAAAAAAGAAAAAGAAAAAACACAGCTTATTATGGCATCATTCCGTTGTAGACAAAGTAATCTATAGTTAACAACAAGATCCTACAAGGTGGGATCTAGTGTCCATTGAATTCAAAGCAAGGTACACCTTTTTCTTCATCATGTACAAGTCACTAATGCTTCATTTCTTTTGGTTATTTAGCTATTGCAATCGTAGGATGATTTAGTCCAACGCTAAAGCAAATCTAAAAGGTACAAGTCATTTGAAGCTACTTTAGTGACCTAACTACCAATTACTTAAACGTAATTTTAGCTCAAATCTTTCTATCTTGGGTCAAGATCAAAATCCTACAATTGGCAAAGAATGAAAAGCAAGGTACAACTATTAATTCAGGATGTACAAGTCATTAAAGCTTCAATTTGCTTGTACTTTTTAATGGAAGGTAAATGATTTCTACCTCATGATAAGACATCAGGACCAAAACAACAATAATTAAGTCTAGTTATTATAAGGTCAAATAAATCCAATCAACATGTACCATTACTAGAAAAATGTACAATCATTTATGCACAATGTACAATATGTAGACATCTCTTTTCCATCTTCTCCGCCATATGTAACCTCGGTATGTAACAAGTCACATGTACCGATCAGTCCCATCGTCAATATAATTTTAACTAATTTTTACTGTTAAGACAACCATACACAAACTTGTTGATTCTAATTCTCAAATTTTTACTGTTAAAACATGTACAGACTTGTGGATGCAACCCTCAACATCCCTACCAACCAGTCCAACACTTATCAACATGACAAAGGTAAATCAGGATATCATCGAGCAAGGGAGATGATATTCAGACGTGAACTTGAACCTGAGATGTGATTTATGGATTTTCATGTACTTACTGTTATGTCAGATTGTATTTTTATGTCTTTATAGATTCTCGCGTTCTTACTATTACGCCAAACTGTATTCTTATGTTATTTATGGATTTCACATTTTCTAGTGTTACTTCAGACTGTATCCTTACATTATTTATGGCTTCTTAATGTTACGTCAGATTATATTCTTACGTTATTTATGGATTCCCACATTCTTACTGCTACGTTAGACTGTATTCTTACGTTATTTATGGATTCTCATTTTCTTAATGTTACATCAGACTGTATCCTTACGTTATTATGGATTCTCACATTCTTATTGCTACGTTAGACTGTATTCTTATATTATTTATGGATTCTCACATTCTAGTGTTACTTTTAGATTGTATTCTTACATTATTTATGAATTCTTAATGTTACGTCAGACTGTATTCTTACATTATTTATGGATTCTCACATTTTTACTGTTACGTTAAACTATAGTCTTACGTTATTTATGGATTCTAATATTCTTACTGTTACATCAGACTGTATCCTTACGTTATTTATGGATTCTTAATGTTACGTCAGACTATATTCTTACGTTATTTATGGATTCTCACATTCTTGCTATTACGTCAGATTGTATTCTTACGTTATTTATGGATTCTCACATTCTTGCTATTACATCAGACTACATTCTTACGTTATTTATAGATTCTCACATTCTTGCTATTACGTTCGACTGTATTCTTACTGTTATTTATGGATTCTTACTGATATATCAGACCACCGAAAAGAGGGTAAAAAGTAAAAACATAGTGGTCCATGGCTGGCAGCAAAATGCGGTCATCCGTATAGCTAAGCCTTGTCATGGGCAGCCGTAGGACACCCATCTTCCTTTGATGGTGACATCGTTCTTCTTAATGCACATGAACCCATGTTACTCTTGTCCCTAATTATCTAAATACGTAAATATATGGAAATTCATACATATAAATACATAAAGAGAGAGAGTGAGAGGACATGTGAGATCAATCCCAACTACTTACAGGAAGGAAGTCAGTTTCACATATACAACTCAGAGAAAATCAACCAAGTATATTAATGTTTGTGGGACCTACAACCACCATCTGTACAATGGTTGGCATAGCCATTGTCCTTGCATTGTACGACTCATTATCTGCATTAAAAACTTGTACTTTTGAACTATAAATAAAGGAAAAACCATTGTACAAATCAAGAGTGCACGGTTTATAAGCAAGGAAACATGGCAGATGATCAAGATTCACATGGGCACATGAAAATATCTCGTATTTCATTACCTGAAAAACAGATTTTGAAACTGTAATAAAATGCTAAATTGACGTGGATGTCAACGAAAACTATAAATCTAGTCAAAAAGTCGAGCTTTTTACGTGGAAAATTCCTTGATTTATGTAAGTTGCTATCAATATAATAGTCGTATGATGTCAATAGGACAGAAATAAACATGTATTGTAACTTTTGGATAAATGGTAACTAAAAAATATTTGAGAAAATGATTTAATCTTGTAAAACTATAAACAGTAAATTATTGAAATCGTCTTTGTGGTTTGTTCAAAATTGCACGTTTGGTCCCTAACTTTTTTTTTGCACTCGGATCGTCCCTGTGGTTTGATTTTGTTGCGTTTTTCATCCCTATGATTTGGTAAAAAAAAATGCATGTTTTGTCCCTAACTTTATGTATGAAAGGGACGAAAAATACAACAAAATCAAACCATAGGGACGAAAAACGCAACAAAATCAAACCACAGGGATGATCCGAATGCAAAAAAATAGTTAGGAACCAAACGTACAATTTTGACCAAACCACATGGACGATTTAAGTAATTTACTTAACTATAAATGGTGTTTTGAAATGTCTGAAAAATGACTGGTATGCTTAGGGAAATGGAAATATAAATAAGGGCAATTTTGTAATACGGTGATACAAACATGGTACATCGTACAAATCAAATGAAATATCTGAAGGCGATAAGCTAAAGCGTTGTATAAAAAATCGGAATCTGAATCAACATTTGCGAAATCTCAAGGAATAGAAGTATCAAAAAGTTATAGCACATGAGAATGTCTGAATGATTCCCTTTTAGAAAGCATTAACAAAAAAGAACAGTATCATTGGATAAAATTCAGGCACTATAACCAATAAAAAAATTAATAAAAAAAAATTAAAGCAAGAAGCTTTTTTTTTTTTTTTATCTATAAAAAATAAACAAACGTACACGAAGATATGCTGTGAAAATGATGTGCCCTTTTACCTTTTTATCCGCATGCCTTTTTTCTAACAAATTTTCTAGGAATTTCTATGAAAATGTGAATGAAAATGAGAGGTATTTTCATCTTTTTGAATAGTACAAAAAATTGCAACTTTGTCACGATATATCCACAAATCGCACAAGTGAGCATGGAATTTCGAAACAAAAATATAATTTTTAAATTGAATCCGTTGTTCAATAGAATTACAATTTTTCAGACAAACTTTCTAGGGATATTTCTGATATTGAAGATGAGGAGGGTATTCTCGTCTTTTGAACAAAAAAGAGATCAAGAACCAGTAAAAATTGCAACTTATGTCACATTATGCCAAAAATTAAACAAATTGAGCATGAAATTTCGAAACAAAACAATGATGTGCCCTTTTACCTTTTTTCTAACAAACTTTCTAGAAATTTCTATGAAAATGAGAAGGGTGTTTTCGTCCTTTTGAATGGTACAAAAAATTGCAACTTTGTCACGTTATATGCCACAAATCACACAAGTGAGCATGGAATTTCGAAACAAAAATATATTTTTTAAATTAAATCCGTTGTTCAATAGAATTACAATTTTTCAAACAAACTTTCTAGGGATATTTCTGATATTGAAGATGAGGAGGGCATTCTCGTCTTTTGGACAAAAGAGAGATCAAGAACAAGTAAAAATTGCAACTTATGTCACATTATGCCAAAATTAAACAAATTGAGCATGAAATTTCGAAACAAAACAATGATAAAACCCATCTTTTTTTAAATTAAATATTTTGTTCAATACAAATACAAACAATATTAAGGGGGAGGGGGGGGGGGGGGGGGGGGGGGGGTGTTATAGGTCATTGGGTGGTTTGGAGTGTTGTTGATGTTGGCCATCGAGTAAGCTTAACTGTCGCCTCACCCTAGCAATTTGAGCTTGCACCTACAAAGCCATCACAAAAGGGTAAAATGGTCATTTACTAAGGGAGGATTTCTTTCACATCCTTATCAGGTTTTGGTTATGGAGTTGTCAAAGGTCATGTGCTTTTTCACTAGTTGGGTTTGGAAGAATGTGCATATGGATCAAATATCACATGAAATCCATAAAAAAAACACCAAATTCTACACTTAATTCCAAATCGGGAAAAAATTAAACATAAGCAAGAATGTTCAATGATTTTTAGTCATCAATAATTTGCAAAAGACAAGGTTGATTATGCCAAACAAATCATATGCACCCCATTTAATCAAACGATATCCACTTCCATTATCCAAAATCTTCCAATTTTTAGATATTTTTTGGATCTACTTGGATTTTGTTCTACATGAAATAGAGGAAAGTAGTTTGTTTATAAAGTGAACATTTATATTCCTTATCTCATTCTTTTTTTATATATATTATTTCCTCAAACAATGAGAAAAAAAAAAAAAAAAAAAAAAAAAAAAAACTATTCTATACTATATAATGATATTGTATATTTATATACATATTCCAAAATAGTTAGTTACTCTACATATATGTGTTTAGGTGTTTCTTTTAGACTTAATGCAGAAAGAACGACTTAATACATAAAGTAAACATAAGAAGACTTTCTCCATTAAGTCTTCATTCATTTTTTTACTTAATATTAACAACATAGCTGGATAAATTAAGTTGATAAAGAGGTGTCCTTAACATTAAGGTGTTGTTTGTTTTTTCTAAAAAACCACTTCAGACCACTTATTGCCGCGCCACGCAGCACTTAACCCTTCGCAACTGTTTGTTTTTCAGAAGACTTCTGACTTAAAAACAACCAACTGCTTCAAACCTCTTCACACCTTACTTTAACTTACTGCAGCAGTCTACAGACGTTAAAAAGAACCATACTTTTTATTAAATGTTACAGCCGTATGGTCTACCTCTTCTACTACAGAGGGTTGCAGAGGTGGTTCGCAGACTTCAGGCATTTTCGCTTCGGAAAAACAAAGAGTATCTAAGTGGTGTTTTTATATATTATTTCTCCTTATAAGTAGTTAAGTTCTTTTTACAATTATGTTATATTGTTAATCTACCCTTTGTTATCGTTATTTTTCTTTTAACCTTGTTCTATAATTTATTTAACGAAATTCTTTTTCATTTTGATTTGAATAAATGCTACTTTGTTAATGTTTTGTCTAATTCTAAAAATTGAAGCTTTCTAAAAGAAATTAAAACTATTTATTCCAATTTTATATTAAAGTCGGTTGATATAAATGTTTCGTTTGATTAAAAATGGATACGATTTATTTCAATATACAACCCAAAATCGTAAGTTACAAAATAATTTATTTTTAAGTAGTTTATAGTGTAACTTTTATTTATTTAAAAATTCTAAAACTATTTAATGTGATAAGTACATTTTTAGTTTATAAAAACTACCTAATAAATGATAATTTTATTATTTGTCTTTTTTAAAACAAAAGGGTAACATAGTCTTTTAATCATATTCAGCCAATGCATTCAGTCCAGATTCCAGAAAGTAAACATTATTTATATCAACAACATTTTATTCATTCAGATATCATTATCAATTCAGCACTTAATGACTTGTTAGAGCTGAATGATTCAGATGTTATTAAGAGACAAAAAAAAAAGTTCATGCTTACCTGTTGTCGAGCTGCTGCAAGTTTTAAAAGCTCATCTGCTTCTGAAAAATTTGTAAACCACTGTGTAAGAGGATTATCTTTTGGATCAAATTTCTTCCTTTTATCTGCATCTTCAACTGATACTTCAAGAAAAAAAAACAAGGGCATTTAAAAGGGTAAAATTGGTTAATTTGGAAAAATGTTCTAAGAATAAAACTGAAAGTAGAATTTTAGAATAGAAATAAATGAAATGATCAAATGAAAGTATGTTACTATTTACATGTCACATCAAAATGACAACTCACTCACCAGGGGGTAAGATTATGCCAGGTGGCAGTCTAGGAACAATGACAGCTGGATGATTCTGAACACGTGCAAATAACCCCTCAGATGGCTCACTGAAGACAACTTCATCATATGACTCAACCACCACTGGTTTTTTAACAGACATGGAACCCGATTCATCTTCAGGATATAACTTCAAATGATGATATCTGTGAAATGTGAATGTTTTAAATCCATCAAAGTTGTGAATTGTAATTAATTTATGGAAATGATACAGTTTTCAAATGTGGGAAATCACAATACGAAAGAAACTAACAAGTGTAGGGGTTTCTCACAAACATCATTGTGAAAATGAAGAGTGATAGCAATTTCAAATTCACCCCATCCAGATTCTGATAGCTCAAATGGTGGAGATTCGACTACTCTCATTGGATTATTGAAACTGGAATGTAATTGGAACACAACACGTTTAACTACTACACTCAAATCCTCGTTAGTTGCTCCTCTCACGTAAACTGTCCATCTGTGAGATTGATACCTAAAAGCAAAAGATTGTATCATGAAACTACAAGTTTTGGCATTTATTTCAACGCCTATCAAGAATCGCTAGAAAAAAGTTTGAAAACTCACTCGCTTGCTTTCTTTCCGAGCCAGAATGCTATGTTACCATAAACAATTGGAACGCTAAATTCGATATCTTTAAGCTTCTTGACCAAATTCTGCACAAAGACACATGCGTACATGACTTATGAATCAGAGACGTTAATTCTTCAACGTCTAGACTCTATTCATCAAAGCTTTCATAGAGATTATAAATCAGCGATTAAACTCTGCCCAAATGCTAGAAAACCAAGGAAAGAAAGACCCTTTTCGTTTAAAGTTTATTGCTGGATTGATTGAATGATGTTACTATGGTGAACAATACGGAGCTCTCGCAGTATGTATTCAAAAGTAAAGATTGTACCTTCTTCTCGTTATCATCGGAAGATCGAACCATTTTGGTGGCCTGTGATTTGGGGGTAGAGGGGGTGACGTCCGGCTGCTGATTCGGTGAGTGTAATTTAGATGAATGCTGTGGCATGTCCTTCAAAGAAGAACTCGTATAAATTGCCCTAAATCAAGAAAAAGAATTAGGGCTTTTCCGTTGGTAGAACGCTAACTTGCGTATGGGAAATTGGGAATTGCAGAATGGAAGGTCTCGAACGAGGGCGTTTTTGACCTTTCAGCACAATTTATATTTAAAATTACCGGATTGCGAATTTGAATAAACTAACTAAATGTTTGTTTATTGCAATATAATAGGAAGGAAATAACCTCTTTGTTTAATATTGAGGATACATTTAGTTTCGGAAAATTTATCGTCTTTCGGAAAAAATTTCCAATAAAATGAGAATTTTAAAAAAACGTTTAGTTCGTTTATTTTTCTAAAATTTTTATTAAAAATGAAAAAATTATCTAAAATTACAAAAGAAGATGAAAATTTTTGAAAACCGATAATCATTGTTTTCAACATTTTTCTAATTTCAATTTTTTTCTAAAATATAAACACACACTCACTCCCACTCCCACTCCATCCTCCTCTATCTACCATAGCATTAACACCATCAACCCACCCTACCTCTACCTACCCACACCCACTCCCAAGCCCACCCCCATCCCCATAAACACACACACACCAACCCCCCTCCCCCCACAAACACTCACCCACCCAACATCACTACCACAAGCACCGACATATCATCACCACCACCACTAGCTCGTCACCAGTACCACCGCCGCCATCACCATCACTACCACAATTGTCGTCGTCACCACCACCGTTTGTCATCATCACCACCATCGCCACCCCGCTGCCACCACCACCACCGTCGCCATCATCGACATCACCACTACCCCCCATCGCTGCCCCCACCACCACCATTGTTCTCATGCCATCCTACCATCGCTACCGTTTTCTAAAAATGAAAACCGATAGAAAATACATATCTAAACACGTTTTCTAATTTTCTAAAACTGAAAATGAAAAATGAATAAGTTTTAACTAAACACGTTTTCTAAATTTTCCAATGAAAACCGAAAACGGAAAACAAAAACTGAAAAGGGAAAACGAAAAATAGAAAATGAAAATAGTTTTTCCTAAGTAAACGCAACCTAAATTCTTAAGAGGAGCTGTTTGGTCTAACCCCTTCTATATCTGGTTCTAGGATCTAAATATCTTAATATTTTAGAGAAATTTCGCAAAGAATAAATGGCATTCAATTCTGATGAGTTTGAGGGTATATGTATTTTGTTTATTTACTTGTAATAAATGAAATATGAATAACAGATTCGAAATATAACATTAATTCAAATCTAGCACCTTAGGTAGCTACTTAATTAGTGTTAGAAATGGCACAAAACATTATATATAAGTAGCAGTATATTGGACACTTCAGAATAGTCTCTTTATTCTACACCAGAATACGAAGAACAAGTACAACATATGTAAAACAGCCTGGATCATAAGGTCAAAAAAATTCCGAAATGATATTTAGTGTAATTTTGAAACAATTTTCTTTATGCATTTTTTAGCATGATCACATTTTCAATGTTTATCTTATAATGTATTTCAAACATGCTATAGTTATGGATATTCTTGATAAATTCAAGAACCCATCGAACAAACATGTTTTGGTAGGTGGAATACAATAGTTAATAGAAACAAAATAACCTAACCTTATATATATATATATATATATATATATATATATATATATATATATAAACTCAAAAATTAACGTATCCACCTATGCTTTTAAGGTAAAGTACTTTTTATATTAGTATTATCCTTTTGACGTTTTGTGTTTGCTAATATCGTCATACATGATTTTTTTCATATATAGATTCTAGAGACTTTTCTATTAAGCATTTTGTTTGGTACTAAAAAACTGAATCTGGTCTCTCGGGTCACTGACTTGGTCCATGCTTACTTGGTTATAGAAGACTCATTGTTATGTGTTTGTTAATGTGTATTGGGTATCATTATTTATATACATTTTCTAGTTTCACTCGTTTGTATAATGTTGTTAACAATTGATGTAAAAGTGTATTAGGAAGATAGTTATTTATATACATTTTCAAGTTAGAGCTAATATCGGATGAGAGTGGTGTTGATTGGTGGTCTTATAGCTTCGCATGTATTAAACGTGATGATTTGCCTTGATCACCCGATACCAGGCCACCATCAATTACCTCCCAACTCAACTCATTATGAGCCGACACACCCACAACATATCCTCGAGGGTCTGAATAGTCCTTTTACACTGACCATTAGTATACGAATAAAAAGCTATGTTGAAATGGAGATGAGTACTCAACTCGTCATGGAACCTCTAACCCTTGAAGGGAACCAGACATATCTGTCAGAAACAACTGATACCGACATCCCATGACGTGCCATAACCTCCCTGATATAAACCTCGGCCAGCTTCTCTGCAGAAATACTCTCCTGAACCAGAATGAAATACACGCTCTTGGTCAAACGATCCATGATGACCCATATCGAATCCACTCCGCACGCAGTCCTAAGAAGCTTCGTGGTAAAATCCATAGTGATATCCTCCCATTTACATATGAGAATCTCCAACAGTTGCATCTTGCTGTGAGGTTGCTGATGTTTGGCCTTGACCTTCCTGTAGGCTAAGCACCTCTCCATATACCAAGCTATATCCCGTTTCATGCAGGGCCACCAATAATCAGGATGAAGGTCTCTATACATCTTCTTCGCCCCGGGATGAATGGAGAACCTTGACTTGTGAGCCTACTCCATCATAATCTGGCGCACACCACCCTAATACGGAACCCAAACTCGTCGATGCAGAGTCAATAATCCACGTTTATCATAATTGAAGGAAGCCACCTTACCCACAATACGCTTGCTCTTGCGGTGCTCTTCCTTTATAACCTCGACTTGTGCCTCATGAATCCGCTCCAACAATGGAATAAACACAATCATCCTCAAATATATGCCTCTCATCAAAGCCGTGACCGCCTTGCAGCTGAGAGCATCAACCACCATATTGGCCTTCCTCGGGTGATAAAGGATCTCACAATCATAATTCTTCACCACATCCAACCATCAATGTTGCCTTATATTCAGATTCAGATGGTCCATCAAATATCTCAAGCTCTTATGATCTATGTAAATAGTACAACGAACTCCATAGAGGTAATGCCATTAAATCTTAAGGGCGAAAACCACTGCCCCCAAATCTAAATCATGCATCAGATAATTCGCTTCATGTGGCTTTAGCTTCCTCGAACCGTAAGTGATCATGCGATTGCTCTGCATCAGCACTGCCCCCAATCCTGTGATCGAGGCATCGCAATAAACCACGAAATCCTCAACACCCTTAATCAGGGTCAGAATCAATGCCTTACATAACCGTTGTCTAAGAGTCTCAAAAGTTGTCTGCTGCTTAGGAACCAAACGAAAAGTAACCATCTTCTTAGTTAGTCGGTCAAAGGAACAACTATCTTGGAGAAGTCCTAGATGAATCTGTAACGCCCCAAAATTTACCGGTTAAAAATTTCATTTTTAATTTAGATGAAAACTTAAAATATCATTACAAACATTCATGATAAAAATCCATGTCTGAAAAACCGGTGACATCATAATCAGAATTCAGAGTACATCCCAGAAAATCTATAATGCGGAAACAAAAGGCGTATGTGTGATATGCTGTTACCGCGCCGGCTCCTTTCCCCTAGCTGAAGAGGTACCTGAAATCAAACTGCAAACCGTAAGCACAAAGCTTAGTGAGTTCCCCCAAAATACCCCATAGCATGCAAGCATATAACAAACAACATTCAACTATGAGATACGGGCCCTGCCCACACTCGTGAAGATATGGGGCCTGCCCACACTTCGCTATCTGGGAGATATGGGCCACGCCCACACTCGTGGAGATACGGGTCCTGCCCACACTTCACTATCTAGGAGATACGGGCCTATCCCACACTCCACTCTTGGAGAGATACGGGCCTAGCCCACACTCAACCGCCAACTCATATCATACAAGTATCACACAGACAACAAGTATAGACAGCTCTATCATACTAGCATATATCGTAATCACTCAATTAAGAGATACGGGCTCGGCCCACACTCTAATACTAACGTCTCGTCTATACGGGCCGGCCTGGTGCCTGAGACCCGTTACAACTGAAAGGAAACTCACCTCGAAATGGTTGCTGGTGTGTGTGGGAACCGACTGTCTGCTGCTACTCCGGGAATCCTCCGGCTGTAATTCCCACACATACTCAATCAATCACTATTTACTGCCTTTTTGGGTGAAATGACCCCCCCCCCCCCCCCCCCGACCATGCCCTAAGTCAAAGTCAGAGTCAACTTCCAGTTGACCCGACTCGCCGAGTTGGCTATCCAACTCGTCGAGTCCATGTCCAAACGACGATCCAGGGTTCTGTTCCTACTCGTCGAGTTAGGCGTTGAATCGACGAGTTCTCCATCCAAACTGATGTTCAAGTCCTTCATCCTACTCGCCGAGTTGTATGAACAACTCGTCGAGTTCATCTTTATCCGATGAACACTCATGCTAAGACTCGCTGAGTTGTATGAACAACTCGCCAAGTCTGTTCTTGATCTATGCAGATTGCCTTGGACTCGCCGAGCCAGGCCATGACTCGCCAAGTCCTACCATGGGTGAGTTCAGCTTCCAACTCACCGAGTCACACCTTGTGACTCACTGCTCAAACTCGATACAGCAAAAATGGGACAACTCGAAGACTCGTGAGCAGACTCGCCGAGTCACATGAACGACTCGCCGAGTCGTTGCCATGCACCCATTAATTACACCAATTTGTTCGATTCCAGTCCATGCCATTCACAGATCTGGGCTTTTAGGACACGAATCACACGAATTGCCGAGTCGTTGCCATGCACGCATTAAATTAGGAAGGATTGGAACAAGATGCTTGCTAAATGAGATGGTAAGATGCCTTGTTGAGGAGTTAGAGCACCCAGGTTTGAATCCTTCTAACCCGCGTACATTTTTTGATTATTTTCTGTTGCTATTAGGCTATATATTAGGGGTGGAATTGGTATGGTACCGAGTTTTTTTTCTCCAAACCGTGTACCGTACCAACTATAGTTGGTATAAGATTTTAGCTACCAGTACCATACCAAATGTACTAGGTACCAATTAATTTGACTACCAACAAATTTGGTTGGTATATATTGGTATTTGGTA